GGAGCTGGTTTTGAAACTTTGGAGAGTGTGAATGAGGACAGAAGAATTTATCCAGGAGGAAATATTTCCTCTCCAGGATGTAAATGAAAGATGGAACCATTTTCACCCCATCATTAAAGAGCTACTGTACTGCTCAGGAAAGTTGCAATAGGATACAAGCACCCTTGCCAAAATCACAACTTAGTGCCTTGAATTTGGCTGGAGGTGGATTTCAACTTTGTTTTTATGTCTTCTTCAGACTTAAAAGGCAAAAAGCCTGGCACAACAAAGGGACTGACTCTCTTACCTGTTATTAAATGAAACACCTCCCCCCCTCAATCAAAAGTTGTGCAAAATCTGGACTTTGGTTCAGAGGCACCACCCTTGTATGCAGGGCTGTGGTTGTCCTCCTTGCTCTTGTGTAGGAAATTTCACTTTGGGCTACTTAAGGCATAGGTGAAAGGTCGAAGGGCCTATGAATCTGAGTCCTTTGTATGTACCTTTTTCTGGGGTGAAATTTCTTTTTTTTAAGGGTCTTCTGTGCCTGATACAACTCGCCTTTAAGAATCACCTTTTCAAAAGACTTTGGGGTAGAAAAAGCTGACAAGGTCCCAAGACAAAATTCCATCCAACCTCTTTCAGTCCTCTCAGCATCTAGTGTGACACCAAGGGCTGCACTTTTTTGCTTAGAAGTTTTCACTGAAGATCTGTGTTGAACTGAGTCCTGTAGCTAGCTCTGCTGTGCTGAGGTGGCTCTTGAATAAAATGACAGATTTCAGTGGATTTCTTCCTGAGTAACGGTTAGGGATACTGATGGAGTACGTATGCCATCTTATGCGTCATTGGGAGGGTAAGCTGAAAGCAAGTTTCAGGCTTCATCAGATCTGTTTGGTGAAAAATCAGGTTAATCAATGTGATGGGAAAATAATACAATCAAAATGCTTCCCTGCTGGCCTTGCTCCATTGAGATAGAAGCATAAAACACTCGACTACAGAGGAGAGTAGGCACAGTATTACTGCATCATCCTGCTACATGGACTCTATGTAATATAGGCAAGCAGTTATCTACTGATCATTTTTGCAAGCTTATTTCTTCTGTGAATTCATGCTTGGCAGCTATTAATTCCTGAAGTGCACAAACTTCTCCTTAGACATCTCTTTTGTATTAATTTGGTCTTAATCAACAAAGGAGAAGTTTATGCACTTCTTTTGCTCAGTACATTAAAATTTGAAAAGATTTAGGAGAGTGGTTAGGACTAAAGTTATTTAGAGTAACCATTTTTATCACTATCTGCCATGGGGTGTGTATGTGTGTACATCAGGGGAGCAGGATAGGGAGAAGCTGCCCAAAGTATTTGATGAAAATCTTTTGATTGTCAGGTATGAATAATTTTTCTCTTTAAAGCAAGTTAAAACATTCCAAGCCTGAAAGAAATGAAACAGTCATGGGGGAAGAAAAGTCTCAGGAACAAAACATATTTATTTGGAAAACCAAATCTCTTTTCAAAAATGCACTTAAAACTAGGGTCCAATCTGATTCTGAATTCATGTGCAAACAGCTCAGGCTGGGGTTTCCACCAAGTGTACAAAGAAACTGCAGAGGGGTTGGAGCAGCCAGCCTGGGATGTTTTCAGGTCCTCTCACATGCTGCTGAAGAGACTATTTTGTTCCCTGTTCCAGCCAGTCTTTCTGTGCCTCTGACCTAATTTTTGCCTATGCAGGGTGTAAAAATCTCTCAAGTACCACAAACTGCACCCATTCAACAAACAGATGCAGACAGCAGTAGGGCTGAAAGAGCAGCGTGCCAAAGTATTGGCTTGCTGCTGATGTGTCAAATATCACAAAGAGCAAGGCTTTGTCTCTCTTCTGTCATCCTGATTTATTAGACATTAAGAAAGACAAAGCATCCAAACACACAAACATTGCTGTTTTGGGAAGGTTTGCGAAATGGTTAATGCGCTTGTTCTACACAAAAATGTAAAGTGTCAGTTCTCTGATTACCTACTGCTGGAAAGTGTTTGGACAGGTGCTGTGTTTCACCAGCCGTCTGTCACAGCTGACAGCTCGGATTTATGGCTGTACACCAGGGCCTGCCATCCCCCTCCGCCGGCTCCACTCCGGGTGCCAGGCGGCGGCTGCAGGCCGGTCCCTCCCGCCGCTCTGCCCGCTCGGGAGCTGCGTGCGGCTGCCTCTGCCGTGTTCGCGGGGCGGGGTGACAGCAGAGACACCGACAGATTCTTCCTTCCCGTACGTTCACCTGGCGTGTGGAAGCGCGGCGGGCATGGTCAGAGCAGTATCGCGAATGGGGCGATTTCACTCAAAGGAGGAAATTTGTCCCTTGCCTCCTCTTTGGAGGATGATGCTCAAACAGGAGGAGGCAGAGGAGACCCTACCTTTCAGCAAGCGAAAGCCCCCCCCAGCACCGCCGCCGAGTGGGCTGCCGACAGCGGGCGGTACCTGCCCGCCCTCCCATCGCCCCGCCTCGGGGCCCCCTCGAGTCCTCATGTCGACCTTCTGGGGAAATCCAAACAAGTACTAAGAAAAGACTGCGAGGACACAGATATACCTGATACTGTACTCTTGATGTGCGTTTCTCGGTATATAAAAAAATCGAGTTTCATAGAAGATAAATATAGAATACTTATTAACAAGGCATATCTCGAACTCTGTGGGCTTTTCTTTTTATTTTTTTTAAATGCTCTTATTTTTTTAATGAAAAATGGACTTTTCTAAAATTAAAAAGTCCAATGTCATCCTATGAAGCATACATTTACACACAAATTCAGCCCTACTCACACTTAAACACATCCGATTAAAATACACACGTGTGGCTGTAATAACAAATTCCACTTTCCGCCAAGGTGCTTTTAGCATACCCTGATATATGACCTTTACAGATCGACGAAATCAAAAGATAATAGCAGTTGTATACTGACAGGTCATGCGGACTCCTATATAAAAAAAAAAAGATGGTAAAATACAAGCCAGAGGAAAGAGTAGGTTATAGAAGGCTAGATTGATATTTGCAGAGAGCCTTGAAGGCAGAATGATGTCGAAATAGTGTATGTGTATGCGTACATGCGTGTGTGTACATAAAAACCAATTCCTTCAAGGGTTGGATTACTTCATACATTAGTCACTAATCTCTCGCAATGTTCTGCTGAATGTTATGGTCTGAGCTAAACACACCGTGAAATCTGCTTGAGCTGTATTGAAACAAGTCTGTTTTTCGGCCTCAGATTGTTCTGTTTGAAGCTTTTCTTTCACAACACACCTTCGCTATTCTGAATAATTTTTGCGAATAGAGTAGAAGCCATTCAGCGGCTGAACCTCGGTGCTAAGAGAAGGAGGGAGAGAAAGTCCAGGGTCCGAAACTAGTGTAATTAGAAAAAAGAATAATCAGCGCCCAAAATTCTTCTTGTCATCGTTTTAGGTGATCTGTGCTTACAGAAGACTTGAAGGGGAAAAAGCCTGCCGATTTTCATACCTTTTAAAGGTTTAATTAAACCAAACCAACAAACAAACGAGCCCTGAATTATCATTTCGGCACTTGTATAAACTCTTCGAGTGCGGGGACGCCACTAATTCGTAATTCAGTACCACGGGCAGCTAGAACCCTCACTTTCCTTTTTCAGACTTAGCCTTTACGAGGCTTTCCTGATCACTTCTGACAATACGAATCAGCATTAACGCCTGTCGGGAGAAGGCAACGCGTGCAAACTGCTTATTGCCAGCAAATACCCCATAGTCTTCATTCCCCTAAGGTTTCACCCGCTTCAGGTGCCTCCACTAGAAGCAGCTGGAGCCCGGTAGTGCCAATGACCTTCCTGAAGCGAGTTTTCTTTGGACTGAAAGATGACAACAGGATCACATGTCGTCTGCTGTCCTTCGTAGGGGAAAAAAAAAAAAAAAAAGAAAAAAGAAAAAAAAAGAAAAGGCGGAGAAGAAAAAAAAGGCAGGCAGATGATCAGGATTTCCGCAGGCTGCCCCCAAGTCGGGCAGCCCGCCGCACAAATCTACCTGCCTGCAAATCGCCAGCCTTTCTGGAGGGCTGAGCTCCGGCGCCAAAATCTGACCTGACTCGAGGAATTGCAGAGGACTTCTAAAACTGGCGGCAGCTCAAGAGGAGAACCTCTCTCATCTCCCGTGACCGAAATAAGGCGGGTCCGTACGAGGCATCTCTACCCCCTGGCAGGGATATAGATGAAAGGGCGGGCAGCCCGGCTGCCCCTGCAGCCAGAGCCAAGCTTCTCGGCCAAGGTTGTCTCACGACAGGCTTCCCTCCCTCCACGCCAGCACAGACATTACGCTCTTCTCTTTACTACTTTATTTAGTGGGCAGCTTTTATTCGGGGGAAAGGGAGAAAGGAAAAAAATGGAAAAATCATGGCCGAGTGTCAATAAAATGCATACGCACATATATTATATACAAACACAGAAATAAAATACGAAAAAAATTACTTTTCTCTTTCCAGTAGCAGTGGTCTTGGCCATAAACGTAGAACGCCAGCCAGTAAAGGAGACAACGCCTGACATTTCCTTAAGCCCTTTCCCCTGTCTCGCCCCGCCCACCCCCCCAATAATTAAAAAAGCTGCACTCTCTTTTTGTTAAAAACACTACTTTTATAAATAATTTAATGTCCTGCCTTCCCACGAAATGCTAGTTGCTGGACAGGAGAAAAGATTTACTTTTGGCACAGTGATGCATTGCTTTGCAGTACAGACCTACGGCTCCACAGCAGCCCCCGGCCCCCTCCCTTCCTCTCTCCCTGCTCTTCCCGGCAGGCTTCCCTGGCCCCGTTCCTCCACCCCCCACAAGCGCACAGCGCATTCCCTGCGGCCGCCACCGCACTCCTCCGCGGGGCACTCCCCGTTGTGCTGCCCAAGGCTTCGGTAGCAGATGTGGGAACAAGACGGGGGGAATAGAAAGGAGGTGGCTGAAGTCAAGTAGTCTCAACGAACAGTAAGAAGCACTTGAGGCTCATGGCTATGTCCAAACCGACAGTTGTTTGATTTTTTTCTTTTTTTTTTTTTCCTTTTTTTTTTTTTTGGTTTAAGTTAAACCCACTGTCTTTTCACTAAGGCACAGTCACCGAGGCTTTTGCTTGGAGGCTTTGGTCGCCTCTGGAGTTAAAGTGCGGGATTCAGAGCCTCCTCCTTCCCCCCTCCACGCCTCCCCGGGCAGGTCCCTCGCAGGGGAGGAGGGGGGCTCCATTAAGCCAGGGGGGTCTCCACGGCGTACGGCTGGAACGAGGCCGAGCCCCCCGCCGCCGGCGGCAGCGGCCCGGTCAGCCGGAGGGGCCCGTACAGCGGGGAGCCGGGCGGCGGCCCCCGCCCGCCCTTGACGAGGGCGGCGGGGAAGAGCGGCACCCGCGGTCGCTCTGCCGGCGGCGGCTCCCCCGGGGACAGAGCCTGCCGCCCGCCCCCCAGCAGCAGCGGCGACGGCTCCCCCAGCCCGTATGCGCAGAGCTGCAGGAGGCCGCCGCCGTAGAGGGCGGTGGCGGGCGGGGGCTGCGCGGCAGGCGGGTAGGGAAGCAGCGGGTAGTGGCCGGGCAGCAGGTGCGGGGGCGCGGGCGGCGCCGGCCAGAGGAGGCGTGCGTGCGGTGTCGGTGGCGGCTGCGGGGCGGCGCGGGGTCCTGCCGGCCGCTGGAGTAGGCTCTCGATGGCGAAGGAGCTGGAGAACTTGGCGCTGCCGCCCGGCGCCCTCGCCCCGCCGCCCCCCACCGCTGCCTCCTTGGCACCCGGCGCGCAGTTGCAGGGCGAGGAGGCGCAGCAGCACCGCGGGGAACCGCCGGGGGACGCGGCTCCCGCTCTGGCCGCCTCCTGCGGCGCTTGCGGCGAGGAGGCGGCGGCGGAGCGGGCAGGCTGCGGCGGCGGGGCGGCGCGGCTGAGGCGCTTGCGGCGGCGGCGGAAGACGCCGTCGGCGAAGGTGTACTCGCTGCTGGGGTTGAGCATCCAGTAGTTGTCCTTGCCCCAGGGCCGCGCCGGGTCGCGCAGCACCTTGACGAAGCAGTCATTGAGCGAGAGGTTGTGGCGCACCGAGTTGCGCCAGCCGGTGTAGGCGCCGCGGAAGAAGGGGAAGCGGCTCATCAGGTAGTCGTTTATCTCGGCCAGGGTCAGGCGGCCGCCGGCCGAGTCCCGGATGGCCATAGCAATGAGCGCGATGTAGGAGTAGGGCGGCTTCGGCCGCCGCGTGTAGGGTTTCCCCTTGGCGCTCTCGGCCGGCGGTGGCGGCGGCTGCGGCGTCCGTGGCGGCGGCGGGGGGTGCCCCGATCGCCCGGCCCCGCCGCCCGGGCTGTTGGCCGCGCAGTCACCGTCGGAGCCCAGCTCGCTGTCAGCCGGAGCCGGAGAGAGCGAGCCGCTGCCTTCCTGGTCGCTGCCGGCGCTCAGCTTGTCCTCATAGTGCTGCGAGAACACCTCCAGCTTCATGGCGGCGGCGCCGGCGGCCCCCCCGCACCCCGCGGCTCCGCTGGGTGGGCGCGACCCCTGCCCCTCGGCGCGGCCTCGCGGAAGGCGGCGAGGCGACCCAGGGGCTTTCTGACCCCGCGCCGGCTTGGACAGCTCCGCGGCGGCTGGCAAGGCGGGCAGGGCACAGCAGGGCAGCGGGGCTCCGCGCCCGCCTCAGCCAGCCGGCCCGGGGTCGCTGGCAGGGGGCTGCCCCTTTCCGGCCGGTGGGCGCCCGAGGACGGGCGGCGGTGCCCTGCCGCCCGATTCCTCCGGCTTCCACCTCCTTCTCCTCTACTGGGGCGCTCGCTCTCTTTTCGCCCCCCTTTTTGTCCTTCTCGCTCTTTACTCTCGCTGCTCCATGGGGCTGAAGGAGAGGGGCGAGCTGGTCCCACTGGAGCCGGTGCGAGAGGACGGGCGGGCGGCTGCTGGAGCCGGCTCTTCTCCGCGTCCGCCCGAGCCCGGTTCTTCTCGGGGGCGCTGCCGCTGTTACCGTTCGGCGCTCCCCCGGCGCGGGGAGAAGCTCTCTCGGGCCGTCGGCGTTACTCCGCTCTCTCCGGCTTCGGCTCCCGTCAGTGCCGGGACGCCGGGCTGGCTCCTCGCTGCGACGCGGGCAGCAGCCGGGTTATTAGGGTTATTAGTGTTATTGTCATTATCTCTCCATTCCCCTGTGGTTCTGTGTCTCTCCACCACTTTCAGACCAGCGCATTATAACGCCGGCGAGAGGCGGAGCCAGGACAAAGATCTGAAAGGGTGGTGGGTGGAGAAGCAAGGTAGCAAAGGTGGGTATGCCCTAATAAGCCGTATCAGAGCCGTAATTAGCCAAGATGACAGCGCGGTCTTGTTGGAAAGTTATTTTACGCAACTTGTTTGTATTTTCTCCTGCCAGGTCCCTCCCCTTCCCGGGTATTTCGAACGAAGCCGCAGTTCCGCGCGACTTCGCAGAGCCGGCCCGCCTCCCAGGTGTAAAATGCAAAATGACTTATAGGTGGCAGAGCTGAACCTGTTACGTGCAGTGATTTATTTTAATAGCGCCGTATAAAGCAACAAGTTGTAATATGACAGCTCGACAACCTGTTGGAAAATAATACATGGCTTCGCAATTGTGAATTCCTAATGATTTATGTAGTCTGACAAAATAGTTTCAGTCCTGGTCCCTCTTTCTTTCTGTCATAAGCACACCTGGTGCAGAGGTAGAATGGGGACAGGTAGGCAATGCTTTGGGATTTTGCTACAAGGGATTTAGTCAAAACCTTAACCTTAGTTTTAGGTGTGTTATTCTGCATATAGTAGTGTTGCTTGATCTCTTCTGGATGATGTGTTTGTAACCTCTCTCTTACAACTGTCACTCTCCAGTAAAATCTTTTGTGTGTGTGTGTGTGGTTTTTTGGTTTTGTTGGTTTGTTTGTTTTCTTTTTTAAAAAATAATAACTTTAACATTTTTTTTAAACACTGGTGTATCTATAAATTTTCCGTAAAACCTGAGAGAAAAAGTGTTCTGTAATTTGACCCAGACACTTTTGTTTCTAGAAAAATTAGTTATTGGGTTTGGGTTTGTTTTTAGGTTTAAGTTGTCAGGGTCTTACCCTCAACATTACGCTAGAGAGAACAACTCAATGAAGAGAGCTATATGGCAGTAGCCTCTCTGAAAACTCCCTGTTCTGCTCACTGTTCAAAGTCAATTGCAAAATGCCGTTTGACTTCATAGGGCAGTAGCGCTAGCATCTGCAAAACAGTAACAAAAACATCAGCAGAAATCTACTGGGGTGCTTATGTTTTATTTCTCGTATGTACACTTTGAATTTTGTGTCCTGGAGTAAGAGTTGGATTGCTCCATATTTTCCAAAAGCAGTCTTTCTAAATCCAACCTTATTTTAGCCTAAATACATGATGCAGAGTCACTCTGGTTAGGACAATGCTGTTGTGGTCTGACTTTCACAAAGTGTTGGAGTTGAAGATGAAAAAAAGGCAGATTTAGAAGACTAAGAGGAGAAACAGACTGTGCTACTTTCTGTCTCGATCTCTCTTGAATGGAATATACGTTTCCACACACACCTACATTTTGTTTCAAAGTGTTCCCATTTTTTCAGTCTGCATGAGTCTTATATGGTAAATATTGAACAGTGACAGGTTCTTCTGTCCCTCTGGTTGCACTTTTGACAACTTTAATAATAACAGTTTTGCTGTTCTCACTCTACCAGTTCAGAAAAACAGGCAATTCAGTGACTTGAAAGACAAAAATAAGAGGAGGGAGACCTCTCTTGGTTCCTTGTTGTTGTTGTTGTCTCCATGTAATGTAAACCAAAATCTTTCAGTAAAGTGTTGCCTTAGCTGTAGGTGCCAATGTTTGTGTTTAAGGGTATGGGAAAAAGGTATCATTCCTTCCAAAACTCATATTTTCTAAGATGATGCCAATGGCAAGGGTAGGTTTTTTTCCTCTTCCTGCTTTTGTTGTAAATAGCACTGAAGTAGTGATGATTTGCTAGCTTGCCTTTGATGTTTATTTTATTACCGTTCCACTATTTGTGTGGAAAATGTACACATTGTCTCTTATCTTTATTCAAAGAACTTAAAAAGTCATTCAAATGCTGTAGGTAAACACGTCAGACATAACAGAAGCTTTTTCACAGCTGTACTTCAAGACTAGGAGTGGATGGCAAAGCTGGTTTTGCAAGATTTAAGAGGGGACAGAAGCTTGTACTCAAAATAATACTAAGATAGCTATTAATGGCTGGGAGGAGGGAACCTTTCTAAGATCAGCACTGCTTCTTGTTGCGGCTCAAGGCCTCTTTGGTATCTCCGAGCCAGTGCATGCTGTAAACTGAACCTTGAAATCTGTGGTGACTCTTAGCTGAGAAAACATACAAAAGTGCTTGTGAAAGGGCCATGCATGGTTTAAGCAGAGCCTTCTTGGCCCGAGTGAGAGCAGTGTCAAGCTCATTGCTGTTGCTGCCCATGAAACAACGAGCAAAGTTGTAAGAAAGGGTGAAATAGTACAACTACTCGTGTCTCTCACCACTGAGAGTATATGTAACCTCAAGCCTTTTCCTGCCATAGTTTTTTAAAAGGCACAGTATCGCCTTCAGGTTTATAAAGATTAACACAATCATCGGAAAAACTGATTCTGTTAAGTAAACTTCACATCAAAAGCACTTTGATGTGCTGTATTATAGCAAAGCCAAACACCCCACCCCCATCACCCCAAGAAAAACCTCCAAAAACCTCCAGTGAAGCAATGTAAAAAAAAAAAAATCTAATTCTTTGTTCTAAAATGAAATGTCTCTTCCTCTTTAGATCAACAGAGCAGGACTTTTTGATGTATGACCCCCTCTTTTCCTACCCAAAACAGTACCGACTTAAAGACAAATGAAGAAATGTGAATGGTTGCTTGAAAATCACGTGCTCAGCTTTGCATCCCATTTTCTATAGTATTTGACTAATTTATTTCAGAAATAGTAAGAGTGTTCCAGTGGATATTTGGAGATAAGGTAGTGTAGTCCTTTGCAGTTTGTTCGAACTACAAATTATAAAAACGTTTGTTACTAAATGTAGCAAAATGCTACACTCTCTGGTGGTTGTGGATATATTTTTGGTTGACCCAGTTATGTTGTCTCTGTAGTATTTTAAACCATGGAGACATGGATTTTTCAGTTCAGCAAACATCGTGCAAAGGTGTGTCATAATATGGTCTTGCTTTTAAATATTTAAAAAATGATTTCTTTTAATTCTTTTCACACAGTCCTTTCTTACCATCTTTTCTGCCTTCTGTCTCTCCAGACCACTGACTAGAATAGAGAGATTTTCCAAGTAAGCTCCTATGGGCACAACTGGTAAATAAAGGTCATGCTGGTGACCGGGAAAGTCCTATGGTTAGTGGTAGGCATGCGTATTTGTGCATCTGAGATGTCCGGCACACCAGCTGGACAAAGTGCTTCATCATCTCTTCTCCTCATCCTGTGGCAAAGCTGCAGGAGGGCACTGCCTTGCCAGGAATGATGAAATTGGACAATGCAATACTCTACATGAGCAACAATAGACCAGTTCAAAGAGTTCACTTTGGATGGGCTGCTCACAGCAGGAGATGTACCTAGCATGCATAAATGAACTACAGAGTCTGTGAAGGTTGGCTAATTGCACTATGTATATTTTTATAGTTGAAGGAAATCCAGCTGGAGACTGAGCTGTAAGAAGGGAGGTTAGTGGAAATTCCTTTAGACCTTGTGAGGAAAAGTTTGATCACTGAAGCAGAATGTATGTCTGTGTGAATTCCCTCATTGGGAAAGATTGGCACTTTTTCACAAGGACAGCCATTCCCTGTGGGTAGAGATTCTCTCATGTCTTTGGCAGGTACTAAGAGCTGAATTTACAATGGGGAGTTCCATTTCAACTTTGTTTCATGCAGTCTTTATTTTCTTGGGAGCCGTTGCTCAGAATAAAATTTTCCCATGCTGAGAGCTTAGTATCACTTCCTCCCTATGCACACTTCATGTTCCATAAAAAAGTCCATCTAAGCAAATTTTTTTAACCAGAGTCCTGGATTGTGACAGAATGGGCAGGGGAAGACTTTCTCCTGTGAAGACAGTGACATTATTGCTCTTGTTACTAATGCTTAGTGCTGGAGAAATAGTTCCAGGTTCCTACACCATCATTTTCACCCAGAGATCTCAGAGCTCTCCCTTCTTACAGGCAATGAGGAGTGAAGGGGAGTCCTGTTGAAAATAATTTGGTAAGTTGGTTGCCACCCCATCTGTAGAACTGAGCTCTTTGGAGCCCTTGTCCTGCACTATGTCCACTGAGGTATCCATCACAAGGCATCATCAGAAAGCATTGTATCATTTGGCAAGGAGCTGTCAAAATGGAGATTGTTATGTCCTGAGACTCAGATAATTTATAGCTAATTCTCTGTTTTTACTAGTGCTATGTTAAGTCTCAGGAGCTTGAATGGAGTTCCACACCAGCATAAGATGAACCTCTCTGGAATACATTGCTGGTTTGCAGTCTGAGAAAGTGCATGACGTAAAAGAGTGCAGGGTGAGGTTAAATTAACATAGTATTTACAACATATTTTGTGATGACAATTCAATAACTTTCCCTGTAGGCTCTTCTCATAGCTGATTGCCTGCTTTCATGTAACTGCACCGAGAGAGAAAATCCAAATGGTGTTGGACTTACAGGATTGTGGATCTCTTCAAAGAGATTTTTCTTATAGCAAGAAAGAACTGGTATTGGAAAGGCAGCACATGTATTGATAAGTCTGGAGGTAATTGTCAGGACAGAATTGCTTGTGAAGAGACAGACTCCACCGCAATTAGAAGTTATGCTGCGTTATGTTTGTTGTGAAGTTCTGATGCAGAAGCCATTTGGTGAATTCTGTGGCTCTCTGCCAGGAATAGTGAATATTTTTTGCTAGTGGTGCCAAACAAACTTAAAAAGAAACCATCATAGCTTGTTATTGTTGGTGCCAGACCAAATATCTGCTGGCGCCAAACTTGGTATTGATGCCAGAGGCTTGCTGTCACTGGCCCATGATATGAGGAAACACCATGTGAGCTGTTACAATAGCCTCTTATTGCCTTCAAGCCCATGCATTGATGGAGTAGAGTGAACAACTTCGTAAGAGAAGTACAGCAGAATTAACCAAGAAATGAAGGGCTTTGAGTCATTGAACTTTGCTAGCCCTTCCTGGAGTACACCTAAGCCAGCTCAAAACCACATATATTTTACATGGGTAAACAGTGACTGGAGATATGAAGGATATGTTTCAATTCAACTAAAACTATTTTTAGCACTGTGGATCAACAAATTAATCACATTGCCAATAATATTCCAGTTGAACAGCAATAAGTATTTACCGTTCTTACTTCTGGATTGGATTTCTTTTGTTGTTTCTTTGTTTTCAAAAAGCTATTTATGGGTGAAATCCCATGATTTATATAAGCACTAGCCAAATCCATAAATAAATAATGGTGTTAAAATCTTCTTGATTTTTTTTTTCTAAGACCAAGTCAACTGCTCCATTGTAATGGAGCTATTTGGGAGCAAGGTGCTGACACCCAGACCTTCCAGTGGCAGGCAGGATTTTGCAGTATTGCCTTCAAATTATATCTCTCTTGTGTGTCTTTTGTCCCCTATTTTCTGTGTTCCATCTTCCTTCCCTGCAACGCCCTGGACAGCTCCAGAACACTACTAGTGTCTTTGAAAATCTGGTCCATGCTGCTGCTTGCTTACTCCTGGAAAATGTAGCATAGTTACAGGGTACATCCACTACACTATACCTCAGCTGGTGGGGGATGAGGATTTATATTCTCCAAACTGTGTTCCAGAAATTGGGTATGTTTTCACCACTTTTTGGATGGCAAAGAAATGCAGTAAAAGCTGAGGGGGCTGGTTCTTCAGTTGCTGCAGATCTAACAAAATCATTAGTTTGTTGAGTTGCATGCACTGTGTATTTGATTTCCAGCTCCTAGGTGAGTTCTTAAGGGATTAACCGAGTTTCAATCTCTTGAAGGTGTGAATAAACATCCTGTTGCCTCACACCCATGAAATTTCTTCCCTAAAGATGTCAAAGTGCTTTGTGCAGAGTGTTGCTATTTTGGTTCTGTAAGTAAAGGTTCGCAGGTTCCAAATGTCTTGGCCAAACTTAAATGATCTAAGATGGGAATAGGACATGGGTTTCCAAATTCCTCCACTACTGTTCTACCCACTAACCCTGTTTTTTTCTCTGAACCTTTACATATACTTTAATAGATTAATAATTAACCTCCAAGTGGGGCACTTTGAGGCAAATGTAAAATGAAACCAAACACTTGTCATGGTTTTTAGTCATACCAGATTTGTAAGTAGGGTGTGTTTAAATGATGCAGGTAGATAAAGTCTTGTTAATTTAGATTAGAGTAAAAGTCAGTGCCTTATCAAAGCAAGTGACTAATTAGGAAAACTATTACCTTTTGGAAAAGAAACAGTTGAACTATCACTCAAAATTATTTTAACTAATTGAACAGTACTAGTATTTATGCTGAATAAAGGCTCTTGCAACTGCTGGGAAAGGAGAAATACAGAGAGCTTTTCCCAGAAATTGCTCGTGTTTTGGTGGGTTTTTTTGATAATTTTGCTTTTAGAAACTTAACAGTACTTGTCATCATTGTGTAAACATGGGGAAGGGAGGAGAGTCCTGTGAGTCATGAGGGAGCCAAACTTAAAGAATTTAGGTGAAGAGCTGGAGCATTTATGTTAAATATACTACCTTCGGTCTCTTCACCTTACCAAGCCAACAGGACAGCAAAGTTCTCGTGAATGGTTTGAAATGATGCAGTGAATCTCACGTCTGTAATAACAGACATTGGGCATTTGAAAACCTGCAAGAGTGGAAACACTAGGGCAAATTCATGGTGTGAAAAGAAAGATTATGATCAGACTGTGTTTATGTTCAGACAGATACATGCAATTGTGAGGAATCATTAAATAACTGTTAACCACACCTGCACAGAGCCTCTGGCAATGCTGGCTTATACAGAATCTCAAGAACTGCCATGTACCTGACATCATACCTTTGCAAGGAAAGAAAAGTCCTAGGTGTTAGCCCAAGACTGGTAAGTAAAACATAATCCACAGACTTGCGCCAGTTTAATGTCTGTAAGTGATTTTTTGGTGTGTCACACCCAGTACCTTCTGCCCTGTAAACCTGTCACTAGTCCTGATTTGTTTGCTTATGACCAGGTCTTACTAAACATCTCCAAATCTGCTTTAATGCAATTGCTACTTACCTCTAAGTCAGTCAGGACCGTGAGGAGGGAGTAAGTATGCGTGTACATAGGGAGTCTAACACAAACAGTATCTCGACTTCTCCGGGATTGTAATTGCTGCTGTGACACACAGCTGCGTGTTTGGGTTTGTTTTTACATGGATCATTTTCCTTTTTAAGAACATCTTTTGACATCTTTTCGTGATGGTAATGACATTTCAGAACCTTTTTACTGTTAAAAAATAATTAAATGGAAGCCTATGGGGAAGGGAATCAAGCAGGGCAAAGGTAGCAGAGGAAAAGGGGGCTGGAGCAAAGCTGAGATGAAGAGATGGAGATATGGAGAAAGTTGAAGTAAATAGCTCCAACTGAGAACACATTACAGAGCAGTTCCTTTTAGACTGTAGAATATTTTCAGGATACTCAACGATCTCCAATTCGACTGCTTCTACTGGTGGAATTTTTTGGACTGCTCACCTCTACAGCTTTCCTCAGGCTAGGGAGTTCTCTGGCTTTTCATTTCACAGGTTCTTTTGGAAGCAATTGTCTTTCATCTGCATTTTCTCTCTTTGAGTATGCTTTTCCTGTCTTTCATGGCTAGGGGTGGTTGAGGAGTGGGGGTTTTTTTGTGATGGTTTTTTGTTTTGTTTTAAATTGAATAAAAATGATAAAAAATGCAAAAGTGAAGGTTGTACATCTGTGTGTAATTCCTGAAAGGGGCTGGGTGCATCAGTTTGATATCTCTTTCTACTTGCAATTTCTGTACAAAATATTTCCTTCTATAATCTTTTTTTCGTAATGAAAATCTCTAGCAACTGTGAAGAATAGGAGACTATGAAACAGAAACAGAGTATGACTATGCACAAAGGGATTCAAAGATTTACAGATTTCAGTATCTGTTTCTGAGAATTGTGAGCTCTGGCACTTGACATTGATGGATCAAACAATAGAGATATTTACTTATCGCTTACGAGAGTCCTTATTCATAACTTGAATTATTTATGCCATAAGGCTTTGAAAGACAGTCCATTTTTAATTTCCTTAGCTGTCATGCAATCAATGCTGAGAAACTTAGCAAAGCCCAACATATATTAATGCTTTTTTAAGAGTTATCAAAGTGTTGTGGGAAAAAAGGCTTCCCTCAGTTCTACTTTAAAAACCGGTAATCTCTCTGTAAGTAAATCTTGGTGATTTGGACAGATTTTATTTTGAAGGCAGGATGTGACACCTTGTACCCTCTTACCCCTACTTTAGCCTTTAAATGTACTGTCATTAAAGGTTGGCCCCTTGAGGAAGATAGGTGTAGTCTGATGCAGAGGCAAACTGAATAGATGGGGCTTTCACTCCAGTGGGCCTGCATTCAAACCTTCAAAACTTTGGCCAGACTCATGACTATTCCCAGTTGAGACTTTAATTAAATGGTGTTGGATATGAGCGTTAAATGTGGAAACTGTGTTCTATTATACTAGCTCGTGTTGCTGAAAGAAATAGAGCCACGCTTCTTGATTGAAGAGACAGAGTTAAGTGAATAATTCGCAACAAATAATTAATCTAAATGTTTCTAAATTATTTCTTACAGAATCTGATTATGGTTGAGAAAGATCCCTATTTATTAGTGCCATGGGACTCCCTTTCACAAGGGGAGAGTTTATTTATATAAGATGAATGAGTTAAGGTATAGACTTGCAAGTTCTTCCTGAGTCATCAGACCCAGAAAACATGTCTTTTATATTAAGGTTAATACAATCTTTCAAACAAAAACATTTATGAGTGTACTTTAACTGATGTGTATATGATGACTGACATTCCAAAACCTCTTCTGCACACACCTACGCTGGCATTCTTTTATACATAGGAGTAATCCTAATTAATTTGAGAAAATTACTCTTGTGCATGAATGTATTCATCAGTATTTGAAACATCACAGTGTGATGTGTTCTAGATACAATCTTGACCTTACACTTAAAGATGCCCACAACGTCCCATCCGGTCTTTATGGCTACCTTAGCCCTAGTAAAAACAGACCAGTACCCAGTGCTTGCCCCTGAGGGCTTGTGTCCACATGGCCAAATTCTCTTACCTAGAAAGAAGTGGCCTCACCTGTACTGTCTAGAGGCAACTGTCCTTTGTCCATGTTATATTCTGAATATAGGCATCTGTGTTGCATGAAAAAGTACTAGGTACAGGGGAAGGCCCATGTTGGGAAGCTTGTTGGTAGTTAAACAGTGTGGACAATCACATGCCTGAGTCCATGTCCTGGCTCTTTTGAATTTACAAGTGCAAAATGTAACTTACATGAATATTTGTGTTCATTTCACATCTGGAAGCTTTAATAAGGTATTACTGCTCTCATCTGTTCTTTACAGGAAAGAGCAATACTGTTGTTCTCTTCAGCAGTGTACTTCTGGGGATGTGTTGGCTGGATTTCTGTCCCATTAGCACTGAAGAGTTTTGCCCAAGAACATTGCAGGGAATCTGTCTTTCTCAGTGTGTTGTGAGTCTTCCCTTTCAGAGGTAAGATTTGATGCAACCTAAATAATATTTTTTTTTATAAATACCATTTCAATTTGTCACAAGGAAACTATTGGCTAGGGCATTGAAGGATTGGAAAGGTATAGCACTAAGGAGAGTGGCTTTATTTTGAATAGTGGAGAAGGTTGAAAATTTCAAAAGCAAGAAGAAAATAAAATGTATGAACCAAAGGCATAATAAGGAGTTTGAACTGAAAACTTCTGTCTTTAAAAATTGCCAAGTATGTAGATTCTGCTTTGCAGATAGTGAGTTCTGAGAGCTGCTGCCTGAAATTTTAAGTGCCTGCACATATTGTCACACCAGGGAATTGTTATAATCTCATCCCAAAACAGGTGCCTGTAGTACGTGTAGTGGTTTTCACCTTGTAGTGTTCATTTCTGTTAGCTGAAAGGAAGTCTAAGGCTTCCTGAGTGATCACCTGGAATGTATTACAGAGCTCTAAAAGTAAGGTGAAGTCAACTCTGTCTTCTCTTAGGAAGCACCTAAAATGCAGTTGCCCCAGTTTTTAGTGTTTGAGACACTTTGATTATTTATGAAGAGATTAGTTATGTAAGATAATTGATTGTGTAAAGAAAAGCTACTTTCATCATTAATCAAACTTCATCCTGAAGTTAAGATAGGATTTAACATAGTGAGCTAGACCAAAACATTGTGTAAGGTAAGAGGGATTGCCTCTCCAAAATTTATTTACTGTTAAAAACTTCACGCTGTGTTCTATCTCGAGCATTGTAGTTACTCTCTTCCTTTACCTGGCTACAGCTCGCTTATCATCCTTCTGATATGACTTGAGCAGAAGGACGTTTCACATTAGGCTGTTTTGTAACATCTTTCTGTGAAATCCTAGAACATTAGTGCTTGCTCCAGGAAAAGATGAGTTAATATGTGGTTTTGTGAGTCCTGATAGTTGCCTTGCTTAATCAATACTGGAAAGGATGTCTTTATTGACACTGAGTGCTTTCCAAAAGTGTTCTTTCCACTGTTAGTGGTATGTTGCTTAACAGAGCCAGCTTAAGCTTGCCACACTGAGTTTTGTGTTGTTTGCGTTGCATTGGTTGGTTACCTCTTTCTGTTAACTTTCCATGTACAATTTAATTAAGCTGTGAATAATAGGATGTTTTATCAGATGGTATGGAATTATTAACTTCAGTGAAGTGTTGTGTGATGAACCAGCTAAAGATCTGGACAATAATTTATACATTCTTCATATTTAATGTCTGTGCATTTTGGATGAAGATAGCTACCAGCATAACTGATTGCAACCCTGCTGCCGAAAGAGGTGTGTCTGTTTATGCCTGTGAAGTGCTTGACTGTTGTTATAAATATAATGACATGGTAATTACTGGTTATAGATACAATAAAGATCAAACTTTTTTTTTTAGTTCAGAATGCTTTTATTATCCTGGAAGCATGCTCCCTATCTTTTCACATAAAGGATGAGTATGACATTTCAGAGTTAGAAAACTGAGTGAAAGAAGTTGTAATGATTTATTTCTGCAAATATTTTTGTGTGTATTAATTGCCCATGAGCTGTGAACAGTGTTCTCTGGTGTCATATTACACAAATTAATCATACTTATTTTGGCCAAAAACACAACAACTAAGAGAACCCCTTCATAATGCCTGTAATGCTCATACTTGCTATTTGTGTAAGAAAAATGCTATGGTTTCTTTTCTCTGATTAGATATCTTATGGAATAAATTAATCTGGTGCATATGTGAATAATATGAAAAATTGTAAATATGCCAACAATATCTAGTTTTAAAGTTGCATTTCTTATGTATCTGCAAATTTAAATAAGTCTAGTCTGATTTCTTAGCAAAGCAAATAAAATGTTTTTATTGATAGAAATCAAACTGTTAACAAATGTTTTCAGATGGAAGTTGGCTTTCAGCAGCAAATGGTAATCCAAAGTTTTCCTACTCTATTTAGTTCACACTTCTCACTGAAAGGTGTATTCAGTGTGACACAACATGTTGTCACTCCTCAGCAAAATGTTGCAATTCATACTGGTCAAAGTACGTAGTATTTCAGAGCTATGCATAATTTGTGATTGCAACAATCTCAAATAGGATTCAAGCAATGGGAGCATAAAATGTATTCGGTGTTTCCATCTCATTCATAATTTTGGCTCAGCAGATCCAGCTGATTATTAACAGTTTCTCCAACTAGCCTGGATTGACTAAGGGAATTCACTTTAACATATTGAAGTGTTTTCATTAACCTTGACCTATGCAAAAGTGGCTTTCTAAATTGGATTCACTGCACTAAGCTTGGTGCCTGCGATATTGTGTATTGCACCAAGCAACAAAATAAGCAAGAAACAAAGTGGTAAAAGATATTATTTAAACTGGAAGTGAGGCAGAATTCATTAAAAGGAGAATATGGACCATGCTCATTATAGGATTTGCTAATGCTCTCAAGTTCTTCCAGCTAAATTTAATGTATGCAAATGATTATTTATGAACAGTTATTATCAACAATACTAATAACTTCAATAGTACTAATAATAGCAATCTGGACTAATTAACTGTTTTAAATAGAATTTTGTAATATTTGCAAATTTTCTCAGTTTTATGGGAACTAAATAAAATCAGCCCCATTGCTTAACGTAAAACTCCATGTCATACAAAACGATTCTGGTTTTGGAGACAAGATTTGAAGCAGAATGAAATGACTGAAGTGGTGGTGGTGAAGAAAGTTTCTGCTTGTGCCAACAAAATAGATAGAGGAATAAATGCAACATAAATACACTGAGCATGTTTTCCCTATTTGTATGAAACCAATTCATTCTAGTCAAGTGCAAAAGCCTCAGTTGAGAGTTTTGTGTTGGAAACACTGTGTTTGGATGGTTACAAATAGTGTGGGGGAATGCTGCTCTTGTGTTGGTTCTTTTCTGTTTTTTTTCTGGTTAAAAAATTACTTTATGATCTATAAGAATGGGGATTTTTTTATTCTTTCCTGGCTGTGAGGGGAAAAAAAAATAAAGAGAAGAAATATCCTGACCTTGCTATAAACAGAAAGTAGAAGGCAAGTTCATGGGAGCACAGAAAAGGGGATCTCCTAGCTTTTACAATGACCTGTTCAAAATGGTTTAAGGAGGGCAATATTGTGTGTTAGTCTGCAGATTCCACGGGACCTTGTTCTGTCTGCTTGGGCAGTGAGGTACCATGCATATGAGTCCTATTCAAGGCATAAAAATAAGTATGAATGATAGCAATGCAGATAATATTGCTTCTTATAAATAATAATTAATGCTAATTAATGTTGACTCTATATGTTGTGGCTTGGATGAAACTCCAGCAGGAATTGGCAGACATGCTGATATGAAATCTCCACCCACAAAGATCTGCTGAAAGAGCAGTATCTGGTGTAAAGGGATCTACCCTTGTAAGTGCAAAGAATACAAAGGTTTTCTAATTGTTTTTCCTGTCTACAGAGAAAACAGGCTTACAGCTTTAAAATCGGTCTGCATGCATGTCTCTAGGAGCTACAGACGTGGTACTAATGCAAGATCAGATCGTGTTCTTTATATAAGTTTATAAATAGTGTTTCATGTTCACCGAAAATAGCACATATAATACAATGTTCTCCAATAGTACTGGCCCCTTCCTATGTGAAGCTGTAGATGCCAATGGAGTTGTTCAGGACTGGCGATGCCCTTTCCTGAGTCGAGTGGGAGGCTGCTGAGCTCTGCTGCTGTGTGGCTCTACCACAGAGTGCAGGAAGACATGCTACACAACCTAGTGCTGATAGGGAGGCTGACGCCTCCTCACCAGGCTTTGGTAAATCTGTATCTGCATATGTGTCCACATATATGCATATGATTTTTCCTCTACCACTTCCCTCCCACTCTGAGCTGCTTTCCTTTCCACACTGCTCTTGAGCCAAGAGGTCAGTGCTACCACTTCTTTTTTGCCAGTCATGATTTTCTTTCTGTATTTTATCCTCTAGTTGTTACTTCCCTTCTTATCAGTGGAGGGGCAGCAAGAGCCATTTGGCTGATTTAATGTTTTTCTAAAAGGAAAGGATGAGACTTAGAAAAATAGGTTGCTGATTTTTGCCTTCAGGTAAAATATGTAGAGGGGGACATTCTTTCTCTTAAGGGAGGATATTTTTATTACAAGGGAGAGAATTCGCCCCAACAGAGCAGTTTTACCTGTGTTCATCTGAGACACAGGAGTCAGTCTGCGTGCTGTTGATGTCATGGGGGATCTGGGACTGAACGACCAGTTGCCATCACAAAATAATCCAGCTTCCCAGAGGGAGAGAAAGGGCTTGTGTGTGACCTTGAAAACAAGAAGGAAAAGGAGAGGAGGAAGTACCTGGTTGTTCCTGCCTTGATAGGGAGAGCTGCAGGGTCCCTGGTCACTGTGTGACCAGCAAACATCCTTGCTGAGAGCTGTAGACCAGGCCATTTGATAGAGCAGCTCTGTGACTCCATCGGCATATACTCACGGGGAGTATATGCTAGAGAAGAATATGGAGCTGTATTAACTGGCATTTCAAAGGTTAGATATTCTGTTTTCTTGTTTGTTTATTTGCTTCCTGCTGGGGGATCAGTTATATGTTGAGATGACTTGACTTGATACACACCTCCTTAGCAAACACGTTGATTCAGCATTTAGAGGATCGTGTTTCTTTGTGGTGCGGAGTTATTTATTACAATATTTGTGGTAGGCTGATGACACTTGTGATGATCAAAAAGAATAAGTTCTGTATTTTTTTAAGAATGTGTTAAACTAGTTCTGTCAAAATAGAGATAATAAATACCAGTAATTGTTTAGTCAGTTGAAAAGGAATAATTCTCCACAATTTTTGAAAACCCTGTGGATAATGATTTGGCTGAATGTGTATGAAGAACCTATACTTACCTCTGCATTTCTGAAACTGTGTGTAGAGTACTGTACTTGTTTTGTATGACTCTGGAATCTGAAAAACTAGATTTTTTCCATGATCATGAAAAAGAGTATCTGCGTAAAGT